TAAATACAAAAACATTTGTGGTGTCTATAAATAAAGATAGCAAATAAAATAACAGTGATAAAAATAGCTTACGTATGGGCCTGCGACGCATTGTGGACGCACTATTCTCGTCGCCACTGTAAATGTGGCTGTTAATCGGCTTCATGTTGCCCTCGGGAACCAAGTGGACGACGACGACGACGACGATGATGACGACTGACAACAACAAGTGGGCGCAAATTTTTGCAAAGAAAATATGTAAAAAGAAAAGAACCAAAAGAAAGATATGTATGTTGGTTGTAATTCTACATAAATATGTGTATGTATGTAGGTGTGTATCAAAACGAGTGGTACAGTTCGTTGCACCCATAAAAAATATTTAACCAGGCCCAATATTATGGCCACGCACTGTACACCAAATTCAGGCGAATAATATGCTTAGGCACTTTTTGCAACCGGTTGGAGTGAGAGTGAGAGCTGCTTGCTTGCTGTTTGCTACTTTTCTAACAAACAGCAAAATTTGAACTTTACCTTTCCTGCTGACGCGACTAGTTTCAATGTTCAACGACAACTAAAAGCCCAACGCAAAACATCTGACGCTGATCGACAAAGAACAACAACAGCAGCAGACGCCAAAGACTATAATAACAAATGCAAGCTGCGAAAAGGAAGCGAAATTTATCTTTATCATAGAGAAATACACACACATAGAGAGGAAGAGAGAGGCAGAGAGAGAAAGAGCGAGCATAACAAGAATTATAAGCTCAAAACCAGAACCAGAACAAGCAGTGCCTGCAAAAACACACCAAGTCCCGACCGAATGACACATGTCAAACATAGAAACGGGCGAAACGGGTATAAGCATTCATATATATACAGCTGCGGTCAAAATAATAGTCGTGCAGACATATGTTCTAGAAAATGTTAAAAAAGTACTTAAAATATATATTTATCTGTAATAGTATTCTAAATCATTCCCAGATGACAACCAGCCATTGGTTGTTTGACAAAATTTAATTTTTTCTTATTTTGAAGATTTTTTTAATATTTCAATTTTCAGCAGTTTGCACCAAAATGTGAGCCATATTTTTATGAAATGCTTTTAAATAAGGAAATAAGTCATTAATATATTATTTAACTCAAAAAACTCTTAATTAACTCGTTCAGTGTTGAAAATTTCGACTATTTTCACCAGCAATACTATTATATTGACCGCTGCAAAATTGCGACACTTGGCCAAATAAGCCGAAAACAGAAGATAAGCAAAAGGAATAGATAAAATACAAAAAATGGATGCGAGAAGAGATATCAACGAGTAAAAAGGTAAAAGGAATCGATGGGATTATGAAAGGAGTTATGAAAATATTGAGCATTTGCATTATATGAAGCAGCAATACTATTATTTTGACCTCAATTGTATATAGATATATATTTATAGATATATATATATATATACGTTGGGCTCGTTTTGACTAACATGAAGTTATCATAGAGCCAGCAAACAGATAAGATATTTGCGTTGATGTGCAGGACACGACGAGCGTTGCACAACGACAATTTTGTTGATAAGGGCAAATATGATTTTGTTTAATCAATTAACTGTTTTGCCAGCAAGCTCCGAAATCAAAAGAGAGCCAATCAAGTAGCACAAATAAATGAGAGAGCAATAGTTTATCTGCATCGCATGCGCCCCTACTATGTGTATGTGTGTGTGTCTCTGTGTGTGAATGTTTGGCCTTGCTTGCAAAAGATTGCGAAATTGTTTGCCATACTAGCCCATGGCAGTGACACACACTGACACACACACACACACATAGACACTTGACCTCGACACCTGACGATGATAATCGAAGCGAATCAAGAAGATAAGAAATACAGACAATCGCACATAGAAACAGACAGACAGACGGACGGACGGACGCATGCAAGCTAAAAGAGCATATAATGAAAGATGCGAATATTAAAATGGCGTATTCGATACAGAACGATATAACTTACTAAATCAAAAATAATGTATATATATATATATAAAGTGTCTCACAGCTCAAAAGACCCAGTGTCTAGCAAAAAATTTAAATTTGGCCCAGTCTTAGAAAAGTAACATATTTGGCGTATAAAAACTTAAATAAGGATGTTAATACTTAGTATGATATCCTTTAGCCCCAATAACTTCCCTTAACCTATTATTCATGGAAGATACCAGCTTCCGGGTCGTTTCTGGACTGATTTTGCTCCACTCATCCAGCAGAGCATTATTGAGGTCGGATCTGTGATTCCTGATGTTATTTTCCAGCAGAGCCCACAAATTTTAAATAACATTTAAATCTGGAGACTGGGCCTGTGGAATTATCTTATGGGGGCAGTTCCAGATATGCCAGGACTGTACTAATCCGGACTTATGCTTGGCTGTTGTCCTGGTCGTTATCGTGGTAGATCTGGAAAGTACGCCGGATTCCTAGCTTCTCGGCACTTTGGAGTACATTTTCCTTTAATATATTGAAATACACATTCTTGTCCATTGTTGTTTCAATGAACACCAAATTTCCGACGCCGGCTTCCGAGATAGATGCCCATACTATGACACTTCCTCCGTCGTGCTTGACTGTTGCCCTTATGATTTTGGGACTCAGCTCAGTATTGGACAGTCACCACACATAATTCCGTCCGTCTGAGCCACAAATGTTGAATTTTGACTCATCTTCAAATATGAATGTGTTCCAGAACTCCAAATCCTTGTCCAAGTGGGTTTTGACGAATATCATCCTAGCCCCTTTATTTTGTGCGCTTATAAAGGGCTTCTTCCGTGGTACTCGGGCATTAAAGTTATGGTTGCGCAGAACCCGGCGCACAGTTTCCACACTGCACTTTTTCCCCATTTCCTGCACATCCTGCACCTGTTGAGTCAGTTTTGGAGCCCATAGCTTGGGATTTTCTCTTATTTTCCTGATGATCCTCCGCTCCTCCTGTTCGGTGAAAATCTTGTGTGGTGCCTTTCTGCCCTTGTCCTCTATCCGATTTTCGTCGACGAAGCGCCGAATGATGTTGGTCACAGTTGGTTTGCTTAGATTTACCATTTCAGCTATTTGGCCATGTGAATATCCTTTTTTGAAGTGTTCCAGGATGAGATTCCGTTGCTCAATGGTAGTCCGTTTGTCCATAGTCCTTGTTGGCTGGTGGCACCCGAGATGCAGGATATAACTAAACTGACTACGAAGGATTGGTCTATTTATTCCGAAAATAATCAATCTGACGTAAAAAATCCGGGTTTTATGGCACCCAGGTGTCCATAACGCCCCTGGTCCAAATTCTATGTGACCATAAATTAAGGAACTTTTTTACATAACCCGACCTAGCATGTGGGGAAACCCGAGTTTATGGGGGTCATATAGTCATTATGAGATTAATGTATGTACCTACCATCGGTCTTTGGAATTTTTGAAAAATATTGGATAATTAGTTTATGGCAAGCAATTACATTTTTTGCTAGAAACTGGGTTTTTTGAGCTGTGAGACACTGTATATATGTTTATATATGTATATATAACAAAAAAAAAATTAATGCCAATGGTGTTTTTAAATCGGCTTGAGTTATGGTAAATTCGACACGCATCCATAATTTCACCACAATAAATAAGCTTGACCAATTTGCTAATAAGTATGTACATACAAAATTATTGAAATTAAAAAAAAGAAGAAATAAAAATAAAAATAAAAACTAACAAAGCTGCCCAGAGAACAATCTAATTTCAATTTCATTCACAGCGAAATGCCGCTAAATTTGTGTGCATGTGTGTGTCTGTGTGAGCACATGGCATACACATACACGCACGCAGACACACCGTGTAAACAACGTGAAATGTATGTATTTTTAGTATGCATAAAACGATGAGTTTGAGTTTGCCTGCCGTCATTTGATTAACTGCTTATTGATTTGACAGTTGTCTTTACACACCCACACACACACAGACAGACACAGGCATATCACTTGTCAGTTGCACAGAAGCTTTCAATTGCCTGTTACTTTATTTGCTTGATATTGATTTTTACCAGCCGGAGGCGAATGCAAGTTTAAGAGCGTGGGAAAATAACTGCACTCTGCAGCTGTCTGCCTGCAGCGACGATGAACGATGATGAGCAGTTAGCCTGTTATGCCGAATTTCATAATCGAATTAAATTCGAAAATAATTTTCTGATGGGCTGATTGAGTATTTATACGTAAATTGATGAAAATATTCGTTGCACTAGCACGAGTAATTGAATGGACAATGCTTGTACATATACATAAAAGAAACTTGCATGATTTTTCGCATATTTAGGTGTTGTTGTTTTAGTTATTTGTTGTGTTATGTTCTCTTTTTTCTTTTACGAGACAAAAAAAAAAAGAAGAAAAAAAACAAAAGTATTGCCGCTGAATGTGTGCATGGAGAAATGGCACAACAAATGAGACATTGAGAGATAGAGGAGACACTCGAACACTGAACAAAAATGTACACACTTATAAGATAAAGAAATCAACAACGAAAATAACAACATTTAACAATTTGAAAGGCGCACTCACATCTCTTCCAGACAACTTTAGTCGCGGTAACAGCGCGAACTTGAAGTTTACTCGCTTCATTGACTTACAATTTCAAACTGAAGCAGACGTAGCAACAACAACGATGAAAAGCGTCAACAACGGCGACACTTTCCACCCCATTCTGGCGTACAAGGAACAACAACAGAAAAAACAGCATGCAGATGAAAAAGGTGATTTCGTTTGCAATGTCGTGCAGCAGGCACGACAGCTAATCGATAGCTCTGATATCGATGATTAGGGTAATAATGTTACACATATTGTAAAAATCAAATATATGTACATAAGTCGTGTAAAAAATATTCCTACAATATCATGGACATTAATTAAAACAAACATTTGAAAAATGTAATTCGTTCACTGTCATCCTAGCATCCTTCCCATTCCAGAGTATCGATAAAACACTTTGATTTTAATGATCGATCGTCTTAGCGGTCAGCACAGTTAGTCGTGTAGTTTTGAATCGGAAAGAATTTAGACTTGCAGGAGCACGCAGGTTGCCTACGGTTTACCTAAATACATCTAAAGTGCCGGGGAAGGGATTAAAACAAAAAAGGAAAAAACGCTCGTTCGTCTTGTTTTTTAATATTTTCTTCGTTTTTTTTTTAACTATTTGTGTACACGTGTACATATATTTTGCTCGCTCTCAATACGTCTGTTGGCCCAATCCTCCGCTCAAAAAGGTGGTTAACGAACAATTTAAATTGGAAATTTTGTGGCTTAATAGCGATTTTGAGTGCTTAAATTATTTGCTTCTGGGTGAGTATTACTCTAGAAAATGTTAAACCTATAAGAATATTGCAACTAAGCTGTTTTTGCATAACTTGTACAAATCTAACAAAACAATGATAAAATATATATATAGACCGGTGTTAATATGTGTATGTAGTGAGTATGTATATTCCGTTCTGTTATTCCATTAGAAACTGCGTCACACACACACACATTCCCGTACGGACACATACAGAATGTGTGGGCACGCATATGTCGAAAAAGTAACGGTACTTTGCTGCTCTAGCGTTCGTTGCACCAGGCACATTGGCTCATTAGTGTGTGTGTGTGTTGTGTGTATAGAGCAGAATCAAGAGCAAAATAGTTTTGCAAAGTGAACGACCAACAAATTTAAAGATGGCGTCGTTCATCAGCTTAAGAAAGAAGACGCAAAAGAAACAGAAATAATAAGTAACTAGAACAGTAACTAGAGATGGGTGCGTGCTTAATAAGAACACACGTAATCATTTTCACATCTAATATTATGATCACTTTTTTTTTTAATGTTATTCCGCTAATTTGAATGGCATTGTATACTTGAAGAGACTTGAAACAAAATTAATGAAACAAAAATTAGTTTTTCACAAATAGCAGCAAACATTGCCTAAAGCTGAAACATGTCCATGCTGTTGAAACGTTCAATTACCCCTGGAAGCCGTCAGGCTCCCGATCCGTTCGACCAATTTCTCGAGAGCCATTTCTATTACCGCAAGCACACAGCCAGGGATGCATCATGCCTGTTCCGAGTTATAGCCGAGCAGATGTACGACACCCAACTGCTGCATTATGAGGTGCGTTTGGAGTGCGTGCGCTTTATGACACGCAAGCGCCGCATCTTCGAACAGGTGAGTAGCAATTGCCTAAAAATTACATCATTAACTGTTCCTGGCTAAATAAATACCTAAGCTGCTCATATTTGACAAAAATATTAATTTATCTGAATTGAATCGCATTTTGATAGCATGTGCAAGGCGATTTTGATAGTTATTTGCAGGATATGGCCAAGCCGAAGACATATGGGACCATGCTGGAGCTGCGCGCAGCTTGCTGCATGTATCAGTGAGTAAAGATGGAGCGAGAAGCCCCGAAATGCAAGCATAAAAATATATGAGCAGTGCATTAATTAGCGAATTTATTTTAGTCGCAACGTTGTCTTCTTTGAGCCATTCAATTTGGGCTCACTTGTTACGTTTAACAAGAGCTACCCGGACAAATTTCAGGTGTTTTACACCAATGAGTTTCATTTCGATTCCGTCTATAAGTTGAGCGACATTCAAGATGAGGCCATTTGCCAGGGTAAGCTATTCACGTAGTCCATATTATGCTGGCCATCTGTATTATATTGAGTCCATATCATCTTGCAGCAATAAGCTTTAAATTGCTTTACAAGATGCTCTTCAAGCTGCCCGATGTCAATTATGCCGTTGAGGCAATGCTGAATCCGCATACCTTCGATTGGGGCAACTGTCAGGTGGAGATGGGCACTAGGGGCTACATGAAGAGCATTTACTGTCGCGATGGGCGCACCTTTCATCTGGATATGCCCGAGGATACCCAGTGCATACTAGAAGACTACAAGCAGTGCAATTTTCACAACACGAATGTGCAAAACAAGGACAACACTCCGGCAGCAGCTGCATCATCATCATTATTATCCAATTCACACGCCTTTGATATGGCGACGAACAATTTAATAACAATTCGCAAGAGCTTGGAGTTGACGTTTGTGTGTCCCAATCGCTTGAATTCTTGTGTGCGTCAGTTGCTGGACGATGGTGAGTAGTCGGCCGTTATATATGATTTATGACACTACATCCAACTCAATCCGTCTACTCAACTGATCTTGCTTGTTGTCCTGAATCAAAGAAAAAATCAATATCAAATACTTTTAGGTTTTATAGCATGCATTTTTAAAAATAAATTGAACAATTTTCATGTTGAATTATTTATTTATGAAAATAACTCAATTGTTTTCCTGTTTTCTAAAATAAATAGTTTGCAAAAATCCTTGAAAGCCCTATAATTCAATATAGTATGAATACGTGTATAAAATGATACAATTTTCCTTATCTTAAATATTAACATTATTTTACATTTACGCAGGCATCACTCCTTTTCCATACAAGGTGGCCAAAGCGCTGGATTCTTACATTTATCGCAATATTGAGTTTGATAGCTGGAATGATATGCGCAAGGAGGCCAAGCGGTATAATGTCTATGTCAATGACTACAATTTTAAGGTATGCTGCTTAACTAATCCCAACTAATATGGAAGCTGAAGACGACGAAACCTTTAATGTTTTGTCGATTCTTATTCCGGCTTCCTGCTCCCAATTTTATAGACAGGTGCCAAATGCCACGTGGAGTTGCTGATAGATGACGACAGAAAGATGTACACCTGCCACATTCAAAAGATTTATACCAACAAAAATTTTTGCATTGTTCATGTCGAGAAATTTGGAAAACAAATATTGGTAGGCTTACCAAAGCTATACATATAATTATTATTCTAGCTAACCAGCTGCCAAAGCTGTCCTGTATTTGTTCATTATTTGTTGTCATTATCTTTTCAAACGCTGATTGGTTTCCTCTCCGTTTCAACGCGTTTCGCAGGTCCCATACGTGTCATTGCATCCGTTGCCGCCCGACGAGTTCCAGCCGTGGTCGGTGCCAAACCGCTATCGGCGACAGGCGCACGGCATGCACATAAACAACAAGAATATGCCCAAGAATATGTCCAATATGACCAAGTTTAAGAAGACCAAGCTATACGACATCAACTACTTTGGGGCCAGCAATTGCGAGGTTATGCAGTATATGCAGCTGGAAAACTACTTTGGCAGTCACCCGTTGTACAACGAACAGCTTTCCAATTCTGCGCAGCATGGATCCGAGCGAGTTGACCAGGCCGTGCAGCGGGAGCAGCATGCACAGGTTTTCCTGCAGCAGTCGCCGGCGCCCCCGCCGTCTCAATCAATGGAAGCTGAAACAGCAGCAGTGCTGACACATCTGCAGCATCAGCAGCAACAGCCAGGAGCGGCTCAGTTGGCCATGGCTGGGTCAATGGGTCACGGTCAATTGACGACCCCATGGCTGGGCACGCCGCTGCCACTGCACCACCTGCCCGAGGCATATCAGGCGGGTGTCTATCCGGGACTGCCGCCGCCGCAGCCTTCATCGGATGGCATGTTCATGCACTTTGGCGGCTATGCGCAACCGATGGCGCAGCAGTTGCCGCCCGTTCCGCTGCAGTCACCGCTGCCGCTGCCGTCATTTGCAACAACACCATATATGGTTGGGCCAACGCAGCAGTCACCACCACTGCCGCCGCTGATGCTGCCTCCACTCAACTGCAGCAATAGCAACAGCAACAGCTGCTCCACAAGCAGCGTCTCCAGGACAATCGCAACGCGCTACAGCGAGGCCCAGTTGGAGTCGCGTCGCGCTGCTCTGCATTCCAATGCCGAGGATTTACAGTCGGATTTGGTTGCACTACACTACTACAAGATGGGCCACAATGTGCATACGCGCATGTCGCAGATCCAAGCTGCTCCCAATCCCAACCCCAACGAGCATTTGCGCATGTATGGCAACGGCATCAATCACAACCAATCGAACAATCAAATCCATTGCAATACTGATCAACTGCAAGTGGCGCCACAAAAGCAGCGCAATAACGAAAGTTTGGCATTGGTGGCCAACTCCTCGTCTACACCGCCGCCCTCGCCAGAAGCAGCAGTTGCTGTGTCCAGCACTGAGCCAGCCACTGAGAAGAAGGTGCGCACTCGGCCCAAACGCGGCAACAATTGCAACAAAATGCGTTCTGAGGTGCGGCCGGAGCAGCTGCCCGATCTCGGCAATGATCAACAGCAGCTTTCGCATGCAATAATGTTGCCAACGCCGACGCCATCGCCCAACACTCAGGGCAATAAGTTCAACTTTTATCCGACGCCTCCAGCAGCATCTCAACAACAACAAGCACAGACATTGCCGAATGCGCCGATGCCGCCTTCGATGTTCTTTCCCGCCAGGAGGACTGGGCAGGTAAGCTATATGGGAAATTAAATGCAAATTCCCGCCAGGAGGACTGGGCAGGTAAGCTATATGGGAAATTAAATGCAAATTGTATGTTGAGCTCAGATCATACATATATTATATTAATATATATATTTATTGTTCTGCAACCCATTCAGAATCCATATGCATGGCCACCCGGTGCAGCCAATATGGTTGGAATGCCATACGAGATGATAAACAATTATAAAATGGAGCCAACCGGCAGCGGAGGCGCCAATGCACAAAAGACTTCGCCACCGTCAACCCACGGACCACCACGACACTAAAGAGCCGACCCGATTTCCACTTTATAAAGAATGATCAATGCACATATTAAATATGTGCTTTACCCATTTGTACTATATACACACACACACACGCCATATACCACATACATATATAAACCATGTATTTAGATCTAAGGTCAATATTCTATTGCATTAACAACTTTAAAATTCAATTAGCCATTTTAAATTTTTAAGTGTATATAAGTAGATAACATTTTAAAACAAATATTTTGAACTAAATCCATAACAAAGACATAAGCAAATACATTAACAATTTTAAACATGTAATTTTTGAATTTTTATGCAATTTTAACAAGGCTCATTTAAAATCAATTTATACACTTTTAAAATCATTTCGCTTATACACATACAACCGCTTCATACAAGAACTTAAAAAAAACACTATATATCATTGTTATTTTTGCCAATATGTTCTGATAACTAAATTTAGAACATTTATACTTTTGAGTCGGAAGACGTCTGCTTTAATGCCACAAAATTATGAATACCATTTGCAAAGGTATCAAAGCCAAAAGCCAAATGTTAAACTATTCACACATCAGTATTAAATGTGCCACGAAATGTAAAAAAAAATGTATATAAATTTAATTATATTTCACACAAATAATAAAAATGCATCTTTGCAACAATTGGCAAATAAAAACTCAAGCGCACAAGACAAAAAACAATGGACGGAAATGGGAAATATTGGTTCGTTTGAACGTGGTCTTTTTGATAACTCTGATGAACGCTTTTTCGTTTAGAGTTTGTTTTAACCAAGTATTCGAGCTATGAGCTGAGCAAAGCCCCAGTTTACAATACTGCCAAAGTGTGCTTGAATCAACTTATTAAAACAAAGGGGGGCATTCAAGTGGGAAATGGAACAATGATATTGTGGTCAAGTTACAAATACAAAATGAACCCCACATCAATAAAGGATGCCCGAAATCATCTTCGATTCGATTTATAAGCAGAAAGTACACTCACTTATGCAAATGGGAGGCGAGACTAATCATGAAATCCAAAATGGTTCGAGAATCCTTGTCGGAGAGTCGGTCTTTATGGTATATAAGCTCCTTAGGTGGCTAAATCTGAAAACGGATGCTGAAACACAGGGCTTGAAATGTCAGACAAGGATATGCCATACTCACCACAGTGCGGGCCTGTCCATGGCTCAGGAGCGGCATCAGCAGCAGCATCAGCATCGATAGCATCAGCAACAACGTCAGCAATGAGAAAAAACGCACTATAATCGCACGCGTTTTTTTGTTGTTGCTTTGAAGCGTTTTAGCACGCGCTGAACTTGTAACAGTTTTTGATTGTGTTTGCTTTGGTTTGTTTTTGAGTGCGCGCTGCTATTTTTTGCGCTCGATAATTTTTGCTTACAAAACTGAAAACGTTTCGCAAAAGTGTCGCATTTTTATGCTGAATTTTCAAATCGACAAATGGACGGCACGAGGCGACCCAATTCCGCAAGTCGGATTCGATTGTTGTATTTGCCACATTGTTTGTGGTTGCTCTTCAATTATTGTCATTGCATTAGGAGGTGCGGCTCGACCTTAAATGTCGTAAATGGTCTCCAGCTGAGGCATTTCCACACAATTGAATAGGATTATGTTAATTCAATAATTTAATAAGCACTCTTCCACGCAGGCTGCCAAGCACGCACAGCCATCATTAATAGGTTAAATATAATAGAATCTATGATCAACCCTCAAAAAGCACATTGAATTGTATATGAGCTTCAAAGCTGAGACTCTTAATGATTAACTAAACTAAATTTGTCTTGAAGTTTATGGCGCTTTCAATGCACTTTTTTGACCCCATAAATTACATGCACATATTCTTGATCAACATCAATAGACGAGTTGATATAGCCATGTTCGTCTGTCCGATTTTGTTTTGCTTAAAATCACTATTGATGAAACTGGCTATTTGACGAGACGGGCGTATGGATCGAGCCACCATATTATAAAGCTGCCTAAGATCTGTCAATTAAACACATGTTTCTTTTTTGTTTTTTTTTTACCAGACTTTACTTTAGCAAAAAAAGTCATAATCTTCATATAGCTACAATAGGAACAATCGGTCAGTTGCAAGACAAATTTTAAGATCTGATACAAATGTAATTACACAAATTTTGAAGAATAAATTCAAAGCCATTTGTTTAACGTTACAAAAAACAATAGTTTTTCAAGCCTCAGAATAAAGTTTAGATGTCAGCAGCTTAACTCCAATTGCATCTTTGACCTTCACTCGTGTTTTTTATGGTAGATTCGACAACGTCGCTGTTATTCTAAAAGTTTCACTCAGAATGGAAATGTTTCTGATATTTTTCGTATTTCAAAGTCTTTAGAATTCGTAAGATCAAATGAGCTAAATACAGACTTTAGCTGCGACAAAGCAAAATGCTCATCAAATAAAATAAATATCAATCAACGAGTATTTCAATTTGATACAATTATTATATAGACGACAAGGGATCGGCAAAATACCCATAAGTAAATATAGATTTCGAACTTTTCATTATCTTCGGTAATTATTACACATTGAAAAGTTTACTTGACCAACGCTGATTGTTATAATACCAAGTTGGATTCTATGGAAATTATACCTGATTATTATATTCAATTGTGTATTTGTCGCCAGAGGCTTGTCAATTCCAGATTTATGAACAAAGAATGATTAAGCTTGGTTTTTTTTGCTTTGATTTTTCTCAAATTGTTTTTTATTTGTTTGCAATGAAACCTGAGCGCCCGCCTTGTGGGCGTCCAAACATACATACTAACTAAGACCAGCCGTTGTGGGGCTGGCAGCTGGCAGCTGGAAGCGACAGCGAGATGCGTCGCTAGCGTCGTCGTTGGCCATGCGCTTAATAATGTCCGGATTGGACGGGAGCGGCATAGTTGCCGCCTTGGCCGCCATAGCTGCCCTCACGTCCGGCGATGTTGGCCAGAGCAGAGAGTCCATGGTTGCCACCCTGGAGCAGCTGGTAGCCAGCGCTGGCAGCGGCATTATCGGCACCAGAGGCATAGGCGGGCAGAGCTTGGCGACCGCCGAGCTGATGACCAGGGGACACAATGGGGCCGGGCCTGTTCAGAACGCTGTGTCCCTGTCCACTGCCATATGAGTTCTTGTAACCCTGCTTGTTCTCATTGACGAAGTACTTCTCTGCTGGGGGCTTGACCACATTGACGAACACGGGCTCAACCTTGACGCGACGTGGGTGGTGCTTAACGTATACCTTGCGGAGCACAATTGCTGGAGGCTTGTGCAGCACAACTGGGGCGGGCTTGACAACCAATGGAGGATGATTGACCAGCACCTTGGTGGGTGGGCGGCGCACAATGATGGGTGCCGGACGATGGATCAAAATCTCGCCCTTGTTCTGTGGGTAAGTGATCGATGAGGTGAGAGTGTTACCCTTGGTGTTCACCGGTTTGTAGGGTATATTCTGGTCTGAGCCATAGGTGCCCTGACCTGGCTGGGCAACGCTCGAAGCGTCGGCGCCACCGGCCAAAGAGGAAGCGGCGGCTGAACCATCGCCCAAACCACCAGCATTGCCGAAATCACCAGCACCGCCAGCGGATGCAGCGGCTGCTGCATCGCCATCAGAGCTGGAGCTGTAGCTTTGCTGTCCGCCCGAGCCGTAGCTCTCCTGACCAACAGATCCATAATTCTGTGGTCCGCCGTAGCCGTTCGCGCTGGCGCATGCCTGATTGAGACACACAGAGAGAGTGAGTGTGTGAGAGTGAGTGTGTGAGAGAGAGAGAGGGAGAAAGAGAGAGAGAAAAAAACATTGAATTGAAGCTTGCAGTGCTGCGTGTTGTTGTGCTAAGATTTGTGATTATTCGATTTTGGAGCAACTGGGTCATCGACTGGTGTCTGGTGATTGGGTTACTGTCTAATCGCTGTGGTTACGTACAATTAAGCAGGCGGCTAGCGCCCATATGAAGCTGTGTCTGTTCATCGTATCCAGTCCCAGTTGGCGATTCAACTTGAATGGCTTCGCTGTGTGAACGTCTGATGTCTTCTGCTGCCTTAACCCGGCCACCGATTTCTTTAAATATGCTGCCACCGTTCGTTTGCCCTATGGTACGTGACATTTGGCCCGGTCGGCATCAGCTGCCGGTTGGCGCGCTGCTGTTCCGCTCCAGCAACAATGGGCCCCATTGTTGTTGCACACATTTTGATGTTGGTTGCCCACGCCAGCTAAGCGAACATGGCCAATTGCAGATTGTTCGCACGCATCTTGTCGCGCATATCTCGGCGTGTTACGTAGAAAGCAATAACAACTCAGAACCGAGCCCCACCTAATCCGCAACTCTCATCTGGTGCATCGTGCCCTGACACATAAGCCACATATCGACGTTTTTCCAGAACCAACACAGTCTGCTGCAGTGATTGCGATTGCCAAATGGCTGTCAACAGTTCCGCATTGAGAGAGCGCCAAGTGATTGGATTGCTGCTTGCCATTGCAGCTGATCTGCACTGCAATATGAATGCCATTAGCTTGCGATTACTATTATACTTGCCATTGCCATTACCATTAGCTTCTGTGTTAGATCCTTTAAACTGTTCCTTAAAATCACATTCTTAATCAACTTTAAAACTGATCGTATTTAACAATCAAAACTTGTTTCCATTTGAATTTCATTAAATGGTCTTTTTTTGTGAGCAAAACTACTACAAATTTATAGTAAATCGTTTAATTTTCTTTATTGAACTAAAAAAGAAGGGAAACCTTGAAAAAGATGACCTGTTTAATTATCTAATTTATATTATATATGTTTATATTATCTAATTTATGTGAATTTAGTTGAGATTGCGCAGTCATTGCTTAAATGAGTTCATAATTAGATAGGGGATTCATTTGAGCATCGCATGACACTCAACATTTAAATTAAGTTAAATAGTATTAAGCACAAATTCTTAAATCAATTCAATAATGATTACGACAATTTATTTAAGTATTTATTTGTAAATCAGTTTCTATACGCTCTAATTGCTTATAATTTGTAACTAACTTAATAATATTATTAAGAATTAAGAAAAATATATTAAAATGTGTATTTATTAATATATTTAAGCGCTCTTTATTTTACAACTTCAATAAAACCCGAAATATGTTTGTTGATTTTAAATCAAATTTTATTCTTAATAAGTTCCGACTGTAAAACAAACTCTTCCAAAAAATGTGTTTTGTTTCGAGGAACAATTTAATATTGGATATCGCAAAGACTTATTGCTACTTAAGCAACTATAACTATAACTATAACTATATCTATTCCACGTACGTTGTATGTATTTCATAGTTGTCATTTCAGAACCAGCCAACGGCAGCAGAATTTCTAAATTTGTCACTGAAACTGCAACTGAAACTGCAACTGAAACTGATCAGAGCAGAAAAATGCTGAAAACTGAGTTCAGCGCTCATTGACCTTGGCCCATTTGTTGTCTATGTTTTCAATATTGTGAAATGCATTAACTGGCAATAAAATCAAGAAAAATAATTATATACATACATGTATGCTTGCACATTTACAAGTATATTCTCCAAAGCTCACATGCCAAAGTAAAGTATTGCATAAAATTACCTACAAATAATTACTTATTATTCCAAGTTAAGTTATTGGATTTATGCGGGGGGAATACAAAATCACAGTATTTGCATGGAGTACACACAATGAATTTGAGCTATGAATTAATAATACAATTGATAATAGGCAAGATCTGTTTAAAATAAACCACAATTTTTGTATGTATTTTAGGCTTTTTTTATTTGCATTAAGAAAAAAAAAACAAATTTGTTTAATTAAACATCCTCCAGCTGGGCTCGGGATTGCTCAACTGCTATGCCTGAACCTGAATTGAATCTGATTCGGACTTAGTAGTTGGGGGAGCCATATGGGGCTGGGCTGGCGTAGAGAGAAGAATCAGCTCCGGAGCCATAGCTATCGGAACTGTGGCCGGACACGACCGATGATGAGGCAGCAGAGCTGCCGTAAGCCTGGGGCTGGCTGTAGTGCTGAGGCTGCTGGTAAACGGGAGCAACGACTGGGGCCATTGGGGCCTCGATCTTCTTGCCCGGCTTGTAGACCTTGACGTAGACGGGATTAAGGCTCAGTGGTGTGGGCACCTTGTTGATGACCTCCTGCTGGTAGATGACTGATGGCTTGATCTTGTAGATGACGGGATTGCCGCGCACCACAGTCGGTGGGCCGCTGTTCACATGTGCGGGTGGTGCACCGGGCTGGTGTACAATGATTGGTGGCAGGGGCTGTGTGGCAATCACCTGATGATTGTTGTGACCCGAGGGCACCAACAGTGAACGGAACAGATGCTGATCGACAAACTGGGGTGAGACCACATTGATCTTGCCCTGACGAATGTTGCTAGCCAGATTCGTCTCGGCCAGCGACTCGGCAATATCCTCGGAGTTCTTCAGCTTCTGGTAGGTGGGGCTGTTGTTCAGGGCATGCAGCTGAGCCTGCACGCGACCCAAACGACGAGCCTCCTGCGGCGATGGCTGAATCTCGGCCTGAGCCGTCAGCTGGTTGGCCGATGGCTGATTACCGCCGGTCGCAACATTGACATACTCCTCCAAACCCGCCGATGGACCTCCGGGCAGATATTGAATCTGACCGCCGGCACCACTGCCACGGGAACCGTAATTAGCGCTCACCAGCTACAGATCAAAATGAGAAAATGCAAATAATTGGCACTGATTAGTCGACAAGTTATTTTGTTTTTTTTTTTGAGATACGAAGAGTTCTTCGAGTTCAGGGATTCCGAAGATTCGGTGTGCTTGAACATACCGGTGCGGCGGCGACGGCAAAGAGCCCAAACCAAAGACCAAGTTGCATGTTGTGTGTGATGTCTACTGCTCGTTGAATGGCGACGATGCTAGCTCTTTATAGTTACCCATGGCATCGCTGTGGTGCATTTATATCGCGCTCACGTTAACGCCACTGCCACGGCCCCGGCTACGTGATCTTTGCGATGCCATTCGCCACCGATTTCCATTTCCGATTTCATATATGTTGTCTCACCGCACATCGCCGACAGCTTGTTTGTCTTTCGAGATGTTGACCAGTTGTTCTTGTTGTAATTGCAGTACGCATTGTTCTTGATGGCTTCTTGGTTGGCTGCTGACAAGATCTCGGTTCTGTCTGTCAACCCCTACTCGTATTTATCAGCCACCAACAGCATCAAATCTCTGTCTCTGTCTCTGTCTCTCAGTTTGGTTCTTGGCAAGGTTGTGAATTTGGATGCGGATTGCGGTTTGGCTCGAGCAAACTTCAAACGACAAAAATCTCAGCATCTTGATGAATTCGCTTTATCATCTTATCACGCATACGAATTCGAAATCAGCTTCGAATCGTTCCAGCTATCTAAGAAACACAGCACTTAAATTAAGAATATTAACTCTACGAAAGTAATCAGAATTATAGTACGGCTAAAGATGATACTCTGGACTGGACTTAAGAATATTATATATAATATAGTAAAATTACAACAAATTGAAATCCGAAACTGTTAATGATAACAATATAATTTTCGGTTATTCATCCCTACACCTTCAGTGCTTTGCATCAAATATTAAGTTTTGAAATTTATTGTTTCATATTTTTGAAATACCTGACGAGTAATTGAACTGGTTATAAACAAGTTTTCATTAGCTGTTTATATCGGCAATTTGATTTGTAATTTTCCATTACATAAATGAACATATCGAAATCAGCCAATGATTGCACTTTTATTTTCTTCCGTAGTTGATCACATTTCTTCTTTTTTGAGCTCACCAATTGGCAAGATAAGCAATGAACTAAGCCAAGTTAACCACTAATACTTGAATACTTGAATACTTGAATACTTGAATACTCGAATACTTGGATATATTCTATGCACCACCGATCATACTAATCAACGAACCGAACTCACAATGTTGGTGGCATTCTCTAAAGTCCAACTAGAATGTGAGAGAAATGTGCAAAAGATGCCAGCCAAAAATTACGTGAGTTCTTCGCCATTGCTTATAAGTCACCTGATATAAAACTAAAATTCGACGTGGAGTCTTTGCCAAATTTTGTAGTTTTTGTTTGACGTTTATTAAAAACAATTATTAATAAGTTAGTTAGTTAGTTAGTAAGTTTAACTTGGGCATTTAGTTAATCAGAGTCCACGCTTATAAAGCAGATAGGTCAGATCGCGAGTCGGACGACTGCCGTAATCATTGAATTGTGATTTGAATGGCAACTGGCTGCTGTCCTGATCAACGTGCCTCAGCGAACTGTAGCTGGAGCCGGAGCTGGGCGATACGGCCGATGTGGGCGACGATTGTGATTGGGCCGCATGCAATGTGTCCTCGCTGGAGTTGATGATGCCCGATGCCGGATTTGCATTCTGGCCATTATTGTTTGGCTTGGAACGATTGCGTATTCCATGACGCGATTTTCCAGCCCGTGTGTGCATGTGTGTCTTGTGTGTGTTGTGTGTGTTGAGTGTGTTGTGTGTGCTGTGCGTGTTGTGTGTGCTGTGCGTGTTGTGTGTGTTGCGCATGTTGTGTTGTATGGGTGGGTATGTGTGTCTGGGACTATTGAATAACTTTCTGTGTCTGTTGTTGTATAGTTGTCCATAGCCATTTGCATAGCGCTGCTGCTGCTGCTGCAGTTGCCTCTGGTAGTTGTCTCTCAGTGCCATGGCCTCTCCATCGAGACTCAACTGGGTGATCAAATTGGTTCGACCATAGCTACCAAGAAGGCCCGACTGGTGGTGCTGCTGCTGCTGTTGTTGCTGTTGTTGCTGTTGTTGCTGTTGCTGCTGTTGATAACGTTGACGTTGATGTTGTTGATGTTGTTGGTGTTGTTGCTGCTGTTGCCGTTGTTGCTGCAGTTGCTGCTGTTGCTGCTGTTGTTGCGCCTCTGCTGGCCGTTCCGCGCCCGGCAAATACTCATGATGCACTTCCTCGTGCACACCATTGTTGGTCGAGTTGACGATGCGATTGTAGTCATCATTTGTGCCACCCACTTGCAGGTGAATGGCATGCTTGAAGTCATCACCCAAATGCTTTAGCCAAAAATCATCGTTCACATCACCGGTGGTATAGATGCGAGTCGTCTGTCCAGTCTTGGGTTGGCCCACACCAACACCGTTCGCGGACATCACATCGATAACATCGTACGGACCGCCTTCCAAGCTCTTTGGTGTCACCGCATAAGTTTTGCTTACTGGCTCCAACTCATCTTCCATTCGTTCGACGCGAACGGCTTTCTTTAGATCACCGCTAAGAACAATGTCAGAATCGGTGCTGGTTCGGATTGTGGTGCTGCTGCTTCTGGGACTGCTGCTCTCATAGATACTGCCACCGTTCGTCGTATCATTTGTCTAATGGGTAAGGGGTAATGGGTAATGGGTGAATTTAGTCATTTAATCGTTGAGTTGACTCGAGCGTGGGTGGGATTGAGACACTCACCTGCGCTATTGCCAGCGGTGCCATTGCCATTGATATGGCCATTAGCAGCAGCGGCAGCCAAACAGAGTTGGCAGGCGCGCCCATTATGTAAATGCTCGATGTGTGTGATCTGCTTCGGTTGTCTAACTGAACCCAGCGCCCCCAATGGAATGGATTTAAATACTCGATGGCAGCTGCATTCATTTTTGCCACGAGCTGTCGCCCAGTCGCGAGCGCACAGACGTGATCTATGGCCGCATATCAGATGCATCATCAACATACATCATCGACTGACAACCTTGCTTCATCTCAGCGGTGCGTCAGACGGCATCAGGGTCAACAAGTTGTTGCACTAACTACTCAATGGGCGCGTATGATCACAATGAGCCAGTATCTTAGCTAGTGGCAAGCGTAACAATGCTCCATGAGTTTAAAACGAGTGCGAGAACACAATGCAACTTGTTATTGATGATGATCGCTGCTTTGCGCTCAAAATGGCGGCCATTTCCGGTTGAGAACTCTCTTGTCGGCTTGTCGGCAACTGTACTTTACTCGTGCAACAACAACAACCACAATTGACCTATCAAATTATCCATTCAGGTGCTCCAAAAAGATAGCATAGAATACAAAATAGTCTTTAGACAAGCCATAGACAAGCAAAGAAAATCTGCGGTAAAGAGTGCTTTACTGCAATTAAATCAACCGAAAGAATGCTTTGCGTTTTGACTTCCGCAAAACTGAGCCACGAACAAAAAACGAAACGATTGCATACAAAATACAAGTCAAAGAATGGAAGGTGTTTGCTTATCGACGGCAACTGCTTAGAATTCATATCTCAATTCGCAGTAATTATGAATGCTCACGATGAAATTACGACAAACAAGAGCTGCCACAAAAATGTATGCATGCATCAACTGTTTTTTGTTTAAAATTGCTTTTTTTGCTTTGAATGTGCTTGCTAAATTTGTTTTGGGTATGCGCATGGAATGTAATCACGATCTCTGAAACTGCTCGACCAATTTCGACTAGTGCATGCTGCCTCAGGCAATATACAAAAAAAAAAAAAAAAAAAAGTTCACTCTAAATTGGAGCACTGATATTTTTGCGCTTTCATTTTCTTATCATCGATTGCGCGCAATTAAAGTAGCCAGTAATCGATATAGACGAGTTATCGGATCGATATGAGGTAAACTTAATTTTTAATTGTGCGATTCTTTAACAGCCTGCCCTATTTTGACAGATTACCAAAGAACAAAAAACACGAGAACATCAGAAACGAGATTCGAGCTTAACAACACGTGAAAGTAGTTGTCAACCTTGATAGGAACACGAATAAATCGGTTTCAGAACAATTTCTTGAATGCTATTAAGCTGTTAATAAGCAAAACAAGCTACAAAAAAAAACGAATTTTTAAAAAAAATACAATAATTGTTTAACCAAGAGATACATATTTACAAATGTGTTATAGTAATTAAAGTTTTCGACTACAATTAAAGGCATTATAATTAATAATTATTATTATAATATAATAATACTATCAACTCTATAGGTAATCAGGGTATCTGGATCTGTGTTGTTGGAATAAATAATGCAAGATGTTGGAAATAACTGTATTTGCCTATGTACACCGCAGCTTGTCTTGCATTCCCGTTTTGTAGTCTTAATCTGTTGTTGCCTGCGAGCAACGGTAATTGTAAGTTCCTTATGATCAAGACCTTCTACGATGGAATGCTTAAGCTACTTTCATGAAGTAAGAGTCAGTCGCTTTTGGTCGCTTGAATCGCGTAGTATAAGTCGCATGAAGCGGACATATATTCTGTATTAAATACAAAGCTCTGAATAAATATAAACTCCAAGTTATAATGCAAGAAATTAGACATGGACACAATTCACACAAACAGTTTATTCAATATTGTTTTTTAGATCAGAACTCTGAAGTTGACGATGGAGAGGTAAACGTGAACCGAAAACGCCTAACAGGCAGAATACACACGGACAGACAACAACAAAAAATGCACAATAAGAAAAAAATATAAACAATTTTACATATATAAATATATATACATATTTACATATATACATGAATACACACAGCGACATAGAAGTGGGGCGGGCACTGTTCCACTGGCCTAAATTTATGGCCCGTCAATATTCGCAGATCTCAGCAGAATTCGGGCTTGTTGGCCCGGCCCGTTGGGTCTTCTTCTTTAGTAGCTTGAGCCATAGCCGCCGTTGTCATCACTGTCGCCGTAGCAGCTGCAACGAGAAGCGAATTCAGAGAGTGAACAAAAAACTGCCACAATGATTTTCAATTTATTTTTGTTATTTTTTTGTTTCGTTTTTTTCTTATTTTTTGTTTGTTTATTATTATTATTATTAGAAACTAGCCAACAAGCATAGCAATAAGACCACAGAAGAATTCCCTACATAAACAACTATACACTATACAGAGATTTGTGAAAGGTAGAAGGAGGTGCGGATGGGTGCCTAGAACCAGGTGCGCAGATAGTCACTGATGGGTGGCACATTGTAGGTGTCCAAGCTGTAGCCGTCAAGGGTGTGACTATTGTAGCCATACGTCTTAGATGGCGTCCGTGAGTAGTCAGCTTGAACCGCCGACTCGGGCTCGGTGGATGCATCGAAGCCCCATCCGCCTAGGCGACCATCAATGAGCTTCTTAAGAAAGTCGGTCGTCTGCTTCTTTTGCTCAGGCTCTGGGTCGACCAGGGCACCACCATAATGTGAATTGTTATCAACATAATCCGGATGCTTGTAAACAATGCCCGAAATGATGGTGTCCAGATGATTGTCGGCCATATGCTCCACCGGATAGCCACTGCCAATGCCAAGCACTGATTTTGCATAATTTCGAGGATTTATCGATTGCAAATCGCCGGCGAATTGCAGCGGTGTTGAGCTCTGCTCAAGCGGATCCGGCACCGAGGTGGTCGACAGCAAAGCCCGCAGTTGTGAATCATCCACAAACTTATATTCATTGTAGTTGCCAGTCAACGGCGATGGTATCTGCAGTGGAAAATAGCTGAAAGTCGAACGCTTGGCGGGAATCGAATTAACTAGTGATGGCTCTTCCGATTGCTCCGGCTGCTCTGGCTGCTGCTCTGGCTGCTGCTCCGGCTGCTCGGATTGCTCGGATTGCTCGGGCTGCTCGGTGATGGCAGGACTGCTCATATGCTGGGCATCCTCAGCAGTATCGGATGGTGGTGCACTGGCTGTAATGGCACCACAGCCCATATGGCATTGTCCACGTTTGAAACTGGGATTAAGCGTCTCCGGCATGAATTGTATGATCTCTGGAGCGGTCAGATCAGCGTTGGCACGCTCCTGTTCCAGCAGATCATACTCACCCTTAATGTCGCGCTTTGTCATGTGACGGGTTCTCAGTCCCAGCCACCGTTTGTCATGGCCCGATCTTAAAGAGGGCGTCTTTTTCGACTTGCGCTTGCTCTTGGACGACGTCGTCTGTGGGGGCACCAGCCCAAACAGATGCATCTTGTGCTGCTGCTGTGGGCTCAGATCCTTGTGATAGAATTTAACATATCGCGGCGGACGCTCCTGCAGCTGCTGCTGTCGCATTAAACGCTTGCGCAGCAGTGAGCCGGGACCGGAGCTCAGATCACGACGACGACGTATAGCATTCGGACTTGAGTTGGGCGGCTGGGCTACGTACCTTGGCTTGGCCGTGGAGCATCTGCTGCAGGTACAGGTCGACTTGTCCTGGGCGCGACAATCTAACAATGAAAGTTGTGCATTAGTTGACGCGCGTGCAAATCATTTCAAAATAAAAGACTCACCTGATTTGGTGGCCGTAACACGATCCACCTTGGCATACAGCTTGGCTGGCTTGTTTTTGGGTGGTGCTGGCGTACGTGGTTCCTCCACGGTGAAATCGAAGCTGTAACTGATCTTTGCCTTGGCCTGCACGGGCTTCTCCACACGATAGCCATACTCGCCGCCCGTATACTGCTTTGGCTTGCTCGGTCTGGGCACATTTAACTGATAGCCAAGCTGGGTGGGGCAATCGCAGCCCTCGTCGCCCGTATAGACGACCTGAACCGGCGTCGGTGCTGGCGCAGCGTTGACAAGCAGCATCGTTAGCAGCAAGAGCACCACCATGATCGAGTGCATCGCAAACATGATATGGATATGGATATGGATTGTATGCACTTGTATGTATTTGTTGTGGTATCAAACGGCGTCTGCTTTGGTGTCAGACGTATTGGCTACTAGCCAAAGCTCGGCGTGTTCCATTCTTTATATCGGCTTCGACTCCATCCCAGTGCAATCTCTCACGCAACAACCCAACGACCACGTCTGGAGCGCTCTGTCTGTTCTGGTCAGCGGCGACGACTCTCGATGAACTTGAACTTGAACAATGTTTTTTCTGCTTTCGCTCTAAGTTGTTATTATTGTTGTTGTTTATGTTTCGTTTAAACTGCTGCTCTTGTTGTTGTTGCTGTTGTTGTTGGTCGCGCTGACCTTTTCAAATAATATGCACTTGCGATATTTTCCGTCAAAAGTCATGTTCCCAGCGTTCGTTTATTTCAGTGCCGCAGCAAGTGTTGCACTTGGACTTGGACTAGGGGCAACTAAATACAATATTTACCATATTTTTAATTATTTATGCATTTATGTTTATGTTTGATTTACAACTGCATTCTTTTGAACACGAAAGCCCATCCATTATTCGATACATCTCACACAAAATAGTAGCCGCCTTTAAAGTCCGTCTTGTTTATGCTAATATTTTCATCATAACAAAAAAAAAAAAGAAGAAAGATCGCAAGTTTATGTTTATTAAGTAATGTTTATTATGCGCTGTATACTTTTGGGGTAAAAAAATTAAGAAAAAATATGCTTATGAAAATGATCAGTCAAACGCGTTCTTTGCTTATCGCGAAAAGGTTTTTTCTTTCGTTCAACTGATTAAAATCTTTAAGTGCAAATTATCTTGTCGAGCATGCTCTTCCAGATATTAAATTACAAGCAAGATTTGGCTGAGCTTCAATGAACTAAAAACGCCCTTTTTTTTTTTGCCTGCATTCAAACAAAATTCTTAAACGGTTTTTTAATGGAGTATGCCGTGAATATTTATTTCCCCAGTACATACAAATGTGCATGTTTTGGTAGAAAATCAAATAATAAAATGTGCAAAATGTCCAACATGCCTAAAATATACGTATTCTGCTTAGCTTTAAACATTTCTTGATTTGTGTATTTAAATACTAATACATACATAGATACATACATACAAACATATATCCATTTCCATTCAGATACAATTAATTATTTACAGGCTGACACAGAGTCCGTTTCTGCGCCAAACTTCACCATCTAATAATGGCTGCCACCCTCAACCTCCTGCCGACGTGCATTGCGGTAAGAAGTGACGCGACCAGGCTTGAAACCACAGTCGACGGTTACTTTGCCGCCCACCTTGGCATAGCTATCGCTGCTGGAGTCGGAACTGTAGCTTGATTTGCGGGTATTAATCTTTCTGAACTTGGGGTTTTTGTATTGTTCGGTAATGTAACCAAGCTGCTTGTATGTCAACTGTGGCGTTGACTCATCATCGTCGTTGGCTTTCTCCTCCTCTTCCTCAACATATTCCTCGTCTTCCTGCTTGACGGCATAGGTGCGCTTCTTCAGTGTGATGACGTCGCTTTTCAGCTTGAACAGATTCTCCTCGGCCACATTAGAATGGAAGACCTTTTGCTGTCCATCCACAGGCTTCTGCGCAAATCCATATGCCAACTTCGCCTCGGGCACATTGATTGCCTTGCCAGCCTGAACAGCCAGACTAACGCTTATGGGATCTGCTGGTGCACTGTCATCATGTGACTTCTCGGACACATACCGAATGCTAAAATAAAAGAGTTGTGTCAAAACAGGAGGAGCAGCGATCGATTGTTTACATACTTATCATAGCTGGAGCTTGTACTGGAGCTGCTGTAGCTGCTATCTTCATTCTGGCAGCTGCAGGTGGGCTTGCATGGCTTCTGTGGAAACGACGAGAGTTTTGGGTATCGGTATCGTATTTGAGTTTTGAATTCTATCATTGCATGAGATTGTTGATGCTTGGCGCACGTACGGGATGATAATGACGACAGAGCGATCAATGCGGCCCAAGTCCATTATGCTGATGATGATGATGATGAACATGTTGGTGCTGGCAATGGTGGTGTTGGTGGTGGTGTTGGTTGTTGTGGTGTCAGTTCTGATGACGCAAGAACAACGTTGCTGCTGTTGCCCTAATACTGTTCACATTGAACGTTGATAGCTGATAGCGCTTGCATGCGGAAACGTTGCTCGCAGCTTTCAACAGTCAACAGTCGACTGTCAACTGTCAGCTGCCGAGGATAAATGTGTGTATCTATGTATGTATATATATCTATATAGATATGGTGTTAATTATGCATGTATGTGTGCTGTTGTGTTAAACTGGGAACTGGGAACTGGGCATTGTGGTAGTCTTTAGTGTAACTGGATTTGATTTTTGATGATGCTAAGCTTAAGTTTGGCTAGCCACTGGATTAGTCATCGGCCATAGCCATAGCCGTAGCTCGATGGCAGCATGTGAACTGCACGACCCCTCTTGGGGCAGTCCACATGCTCCAAGCGCTGCAGCCGCTCGGCCAGACGTTGTGCCGCCAACGTCTTGGCCTCGATGGCGCCCTCAAGCATGCGGCGGCTCAGCAGATTGTTAAACGCATGCACATATTGAAAGAGCTCACGTACTTTGCCGCAGGTCTTGGGCAGCTGGGCGGGTTCGATGAGCTGCTTACTGCACCAGCAATTGTCACCAATGGGCGATAGATTCACCTCGCCCTGCTCATAGTAGCGCGGCTTTGGTCGCACTATTGTCGGTCCCTGGCAGCTCTGGCAGTAATCCGTGCCCTTCTCCGAGCACACGCAGGCCGCACGCAACTGCTTAGATAGATGCAGATGATAGATAGATAAGCTGTTTGTCCAAATGTGCAAATTTTAGTCAATTGTACTTACACCCTGGCTGCAGAGCAGCGCCAGCAGCAATGTCAACAGTAATTTGCACCCGTGCATCTTAGTTCGGTATTATTTGTATTATTCGTGTTATTATTATTATTATATGTATATACTGATGGGTGGCTCGTCTTATCTGTCGCGTGCTGCTCTGCGCTCGTTTAACGTTTGAAGTCACCCCGATGAGACCGACACGTTTTATACCCAAGTTCAAAACTCAGCTCAGTTCAGCTCAGTTCAGCTCAGCTCATCTTCTTGTTGTTGTTGTTGTACCGAGTTGTTGGTGCACTTCATTATATTTGTATTATTTTAATGTTCTTGTTGTCTATGCACTCTCAACTCTCATCGTAATTCGAGCGAAAAGAAATTCGGCATCATCATGGCATGGCTTCATCTTCATCATCAGCGGGGACACTTTCTCATTTTAGTGCGCCAGGGTTACACGTCAGGCTCAGGGCTGGCTTCGCAGTTGCTGTTGCTGAATGCGGCTGCTGTGGCTGCTGCTTTCGCTCGGCAGTTGCACGTGCCCAAGAACCCAACGGCTAGTGTACAGCGACATGTGGATGTTATGGGATGTGTTGATAAACAGAACTGGGCAAATTCCATGAAATTCATATCATTACCGCTGCTGTCGTTGTCTCTCTCGCTACCGACGTCTAGTCGATTGTTCATCTTCTTTCTTTTTTTTTTTTGTTAAAGCCCAGTATCAGTCTCTGTCCTAATTATACCCTTGTAGAGGGTATTACAATTTTGTCGTGGCATGGAGATGTCTTCGACTTGATTAGTCGAGTTGCTATTGCCAAGTCTGTCTGTATGTCTACTCATTTCTTGTCTAAGTTGTGCTCCTCAGCTTAAAAATTGATTGAGTTGCAACTTGGCGTATTTCCGCCTTTTTCCTTCGTTCACCCAGGAGTCAACGTCCGCCCGAATCGGATCACTATATTCTATAGCTTACAACGGTCAAATCTAAGCTGTGCAATCGAAATATTTACTTCACAACTGTCAACAGAATTTACAGCTCAAATCCAGTTGTAAAACAGAGCTGGATGGCAGCCGATTGACATATTCGACAAGGGTATGTAATTATCGGTGTGTCAAAGATTAGCGTTCTTTATTCCAATTGAATGTTCCATATAATACACATGTTTCCCGGATTGTTTATCAGCAGCAAAATAATCTACCATTTAATAAGTAGCGCTTGCCATAGTTCAGTTGTACAACAGCAAGTGTTCGTAATACAAGCATCAGCAAGAAACTTCTACAATCTACAATCTACGTAATTCGACATTCTCAGGACTTAAGCGAAAAATGGCGGCAAAAAAAGTGAACTTAAATGCACGCACCTTCCTGGTGTTAAGCGGCAGCTCGAATCCGCTTGGCCAGATGCTCGCCCAGGAGATGTGCGGCCGCCTGGCAACGGGCTCGATGGCGCTAATTCTGGACGAGAATCGGGCGCAATTGGAATTGTTGGAAAAGCTGTTGAAGCAACAATTGAAACCAAATTCGGTGCAAATATTCACTGGTCTTTTGAATGCGGACCATAGCAATGGCGCCCACCTGCTGGAGCAATCCTTGCAAGGCCGTCATCGTAATGACTTCGAACGTGCCATTATCGTGCACAATGAAGGCGATGCCGCCACCCATATATTGATGGAGCCACAGACGGAATTGGCTTGGACCGATTATGTGCAGCGTCACCTTTACGCGCCGGTGGCACTTAATCAACACTTTTTGAATTCCGAAGCCTTAACGGGCATTGAGAAGCTGGTGGTCAATGTGACTTCGTCGTTGCAAGTGCGTCCGCTGGTGTACAACACGCTGCTCTGCTCGTGCAAGCGAGCTCGTGACATGTACTTCCGTTCCATGGCCTCGGAAGAGGCGCTCGCCGATGTCCATGTGTTGAGCTATGGGCCTGGTCTGTTTGATACTCATCAAACCCAGTGCGGTATCAATGGCAATTATCTGATACCGGAGGAACTATTGATGGTATCACAGGACCAGATAATGCTACGCGTCCAGCCACTGCAGTCAACACTGAAACTGATCAACATTCTGGAGAAGATCGCCTTTGTATCCGGTCATGATGTGGACTATTACGACACTTTCAACTTATGAGTAGCAATGCAGTCGTGGTCTCTGCATCCAGACCCACTCCCCGATTGGATCTGGTTCGCAGAAACGCACGTTAACATGACGAATGATATTAACCAATCTGTGCCTATGAAAACGGACTTAAATAAATTTTGGCTGTTATGGCAACAAAACATCCGAAAAGCAAAAATTTATGTATTTCATTTATTGCCTTTCCTTGGTTCCTTGGGGTTTGCCTTATTAACCCAATTCTATTTGTGAACTTTTTATTTTTAGCTTGACAACCAGTTGCCGTCGTGGCTAATCGTGAGACAACAGTTTGTTTTTCGTCTGAGTCATTGGTAGGGGAGATAATGCTGAATTTACACAGCGCCAATTATTAATTTAAAATTGAATTTTATGTACTAAAAATTGCGCATCAACTCAACAATCCAACAATCAACAGGCGATGTCATAATTTATTTTGTTACATATATTTATTATTGTCAAGTTTACTGTAATAATTGTTATTCAATAACATATATATTATTAACAGTATTTGATAATGGATTCCATTTTTCCACAACTTACTTATTTTCGCGACCGGTTGCAGAACCACGTCAACCCTTTGGCTGGCACACTTGGGTTCAAATGCAACGCCCAGGCGGTTGAAGCGACTCCATGCAGCGACCTCTGGACTGTAGGGCGCTAAATTAATGTGTTACTAATGTAATATTTAATGTTATTTATTATCTGCTAAAACCAGTTCCATGTTTATGTTATAGATTCTAATTCAGTGCTATTATTAATTCATACCTTTACAAGTCAATGTTTTATATCCTTTCAATAGGTTGATTAATGTTTAAATATAATTGCTACATACAAAAATATGATATTATATTGACTATTTTAACATCGTTTCACATCTTTGAAAAATTCCCCTGGGTCCCAGAAGATTTTGCTCTGTGTGGTTAGCCAATAAGCACCACGCAGACAATACATAGAAACGTCACATCGACTGACAAGTGGCTGCTTGAAAATTCAGATGCTTCGGGTACTCCTCTCGTTCGGGTTCTGAGGGCATTCACACGAAGGCGACGAACATTATTTAAGTATAGTGTGGCGATCAGCGAAAGCAGCTCATTGCTTCGCTAGCTTTCGCTGCGACGTGTTCTAGAGCAGGCATGAACAGACTTTTTCTACTAGGTCCTTGAGGGTTATGGATCGCTCAGACTCTTGAGTGTGTGTAAAGATAGCAGCAACACTTTATCCTTGCCTTTTCGTATGCAAGCTGACACTCGATTTTGAATTTTGTAATTTTTGGTCCTGAAGTCCGCAAAATGTATGGTGCAAATTTAAAGAGGGTATTACTGTCCCGACATGCTAAATTCATTGTATGACGGCTTTTCGAACAAACCATTTCGATGCTGCTCAGCGAGATTTGTAGCCCAAATTCTAACTTTTTATGCAGTCAGATTCCAGTCGATTTCACTTCTCTATGTATTGTCTGCTTAGTGATTGAAGCTTGCATCGATAAAATGCTATTTTTATTTTGGATTCATAATATCGATACTTATGGTATTTTTTTAATACAATCGATACTCTTGGTATTTTATTAAATACATACTTGACTAAATCCCTTAACGGTTTTTACCTTTTATTGTAATTAATTTTTGATTTGTTGCAGTGCATGGAACATGTTTATTTTACTGGCGTTGCATTTTTTTTTTTTCAATTTTGTAATTTTCCAAATTTATTCCATATGAAACATATATATACAGGCAACACTCCGTCTTCATCCCCTCTTCTTATTTTTATATTTTGTCGGGTGACTCAGTGCATAGCAACGCGATTGTTGTCGCTTATGTCGATGAACCATTCACAAAACTGTATAATTTTTATACAAGCCGAAATATCATTGATAAGATCCAATCACGATTGCTGGCTCAGCAACAAAGTTGTGCGAACCAAATGACCCATGGCAATTATAATTGCTTAATTATGAAATAGCACTGTATTTGGAAACTGTGGCAAATATATAAATATAATTATGAATGTGCAAAGCAAATGACATACATAGCTGTATGGATTACATCCGCCCTAGTCATACATTGTATGTTTAATTGCAAAATCCCACAATTATTATTGGATTATTTTGATGTGACACACATATTTATATATTTAAGTACGTAGCATACAGTGTCTCACAGTTCAAAAGACGCAGTGCCTAGCAAAAAATTTAAAGTGCTATAAAGTTTAAACAAAGAAACAAAAGCAAAATCTTTAAATGCCAATTTATTTTATGTTATATCACGTTTGAAAAATCAACTTTAGTTTTTATTAAAATATTAATTAATTAATTAAAATTAGTCAAAACTGAAAACCCAAAATACATGTCACCTCTTATTTTAGACAGTCTTAAAAAAGTAACATATTTGGCGTATAAAACTTAAAGAAAGATGTTAATACTTAGTATGATATCATTCCTCCTCCGTGATTGACTGTTGCCTTTAAGTCTTTGGGATTCGGCTCCGTATTTGACTGTCGCCACACATAATTCCATCCGTCCGAGGCAAACATTTTGAATTTGGACTCATCTGCAAATTTGTCTGTGTTCGAGAAAGTGGGTCCTTGTCCAAGTAGGTTTTGGCGAGCGTCATCCTAGTCCCTTCATTTTTTTCGCTTATAAAGGGCTTCTTCCGTGGTACTCGGGCATTGAAGTTATGGTTGCGCAGAACCCGGCGCACAGTTTCCGCACAGCACTTTTTCCCCATTTCATCCTGCACCTGCTGAGTCAGTTTTGGAGCCGATAGTGTAGGATTTTTCCTTTTTATCCTGATGATCCTCCGCTCTTCCTTTTCGGTGAAAATCTTGTGTGGTGCCTTTCTGCCCTTGTCCTCTATCCGATTTTCGTCGACGAAGCGCCGAATGATGTTGGTCACAGTTGATTTGCTTAGATTTACCATTTTAGCTATTTGGCCATGTGAATATCCTTTTTTGAAGTGCTCCAGGATGAGATTCCGTTGTTCAATGGTAGTCCGCTTGCCCATAGTCCTTGTTGGCCGGTTGCACTCGAGATGCAGGATATAACTAAACTGACTACGAAGGATTGCTCTATTTATACCGAAAATAATCAACCCGACGTAGAAAATCCGGGTTTTATGGCACCCAGGTGTCCATAACGCCCCTGATCCAAATTCGCTGTGACCATAAATTAAGGTACTTTTTTACATAACCCGGCCCAGCCGGTGGGAAAACCCCAGTTTATTGGGATCATATATTCATTATGGTGGTTAATATATGTACCTGCCATCGCTCTTTGGAATTTTTGAAAAATATTTAATAATTAGTTTATGGCAGGCAATTAAATTTTTGGCTAGACACTGCGTCGAAATAAGGTCTGAGACACTTTAAGCCCTTTCCCACCTTTTTAAAAAAAAAAAATGTTAAAGTCTATTGTTGTGAATTGCAGTAAATGCGCCACAGTGTGTTTGCACTGCAATATTATAATAAGAAACTGTATGTTCCACGGTTTTTAATTATAAGTTTTAAATAAAAATGTATAGTACGATAGCTTATTCAATAGTTTTGCATCTGTCTGGCAACCCTCCAGCTGACATGAAACGTTTGTTTGGCTTGTGATTTTATTAAAGTTGAGAGTCTCACCAAAACAGAATTTAAAGAGATCCTAGTATTATGGCCGATACACCAAGCACGCCCAACACACCCGGCAGTCGGGCCGTGGAAATAGCCAAGGCGCAAAACACAGCACTGGCAGAGTTTAAGCGTCCGCTGCCCAACAGCAACGATCGACGCAAAATTAAACCCAAAATCCTAACCGAGGAACGGTATATTGAAGAGATGTCCAAAATCATACAGCGTGACTTCTTTCCCGACCTAGAGCGACTGCGGGCACAAAATGACTACCTGGAAGCGGAGTCGCGCCGCGATTTTTTACAAATGGCCGAAATACGAGCACGCTACAGTCTTGGCCGTGTCTCCGGCACTGGAAACCGGCGCGGCTCTAATAGTCGCAACAATGGTAAGCTGATTATTATTACACCCGCAGCTAGCAATACACTCAACAAGATATTTGGCTCTCTTGCAGCCATGTCACCAGCCACATTTGAAACACCACTGGGCACCACTGACGCCAGTGCAACGCCACGTCCAGACACGCCACTCAGTGTCAGCGGTGGCAGTCAGTGCTCCAAGGCCGAAGGTGGACAACCGGATGCCCTTGGACACAAAATGTCCTTGGACGCCTTTCTGCAGCACTACACCAGCGAGGATAATCAAAGTTTTCAGGAAATAATTGAAACGGCCGAGGCGAAGCTGCGACTAAAGTACGCCTTGTTGTACAATCATGAGCAGCTGTCCATGGAGCAACTGCAGCGTGCATTAATGTTACCCAGCATTGAGCAGCAATTTGAAGATCCCGATCCCTTGCGCAAGATTGAGACGTGGAAATACACCAACATGAATTCCATTATGTATGTGCCTGATGGCGTTGAGTTGACCGAACAGGAACGCGTTCAGCTCGCCGAACGCAAACAAAGCATTCAGCACAATGCCACAAGACTGCCGGCCACGTCCCAGCCCGAAACGCCGGGCAGCAAGCCAGCTACAAATGTCAGTCTCACCAAGATGAATGCAACGGGTGAAGAGGCCAGTTCACAGGGAACGGGAACGCCTCGTATTCGTGGCTTTGATCTGTTGCGCTCACCATCCGTATGTCCCGGCGAAGCTTTCTCACCCATTATGACCTGGGGTGAGATCGATGGAACGCCCTTTCGGCTAGATGGTGGCGATACGCCTCTGCGCAATACGCCTGGGCCCTCGTTTCACATCAATGAGAACTCGCGCAGGGAGAACATTGCCATTGCGCTGGCGGAGAAGGTCAGCGAGAAGATGCGCAACCAAAAACAACAAGCTCTAAATACAGCGCGACGCAACATCGGTTCGCCCTTCGTGCGCTCCAGCATGGAGCGTCTGGCCAGCATGTCGCCGGCTGCGCGTCGGCTCGCCAGCAGCAAACTGGGGCTGCGCACACATCACACACCGTTACTGACACCATCGCCAGGACAGGCGCGCAAGCGCAAAGTCACACCAGGTGTGGTGCGGCCGATGCCGAGCGGTGGCAAACAACAGACACCAGCCAAGGCCAACAGCTCCGGCAATGCAACACCCATCGATACCGGCTCCACACTGACTGACGATCTGCTAAAGATACCAGCAAAGAGACGAAGCGCCGCTGCAGATTTCTTTTAAAAGTTCAAAACTTTACTTTTTTTTTTGATAGTTTTGTTTAAGCTTTATTTGAGTGTAATAGAAAACCCATAAACCGGAAGAACTAAATTGCTTACTCCTAGTCTCGGTAGTCAACGTGATCGCCCGACTTAAACTTATGTGCCTGCAGCACCTGCACAAACTTGAGCACCGTTTGCTGCGGTGTCAGCATGGTCTTGGACTCTCGCTGCTCCCTGAATGCGGCAGCCAATGACGGATCGTGTGATTCGCTCTGCACCTGAAGTGTCATCTGTGTGTCAATGACGCCTGGTGCGTAATTAACCACTAGCGTCTCAGCTGGCGGCTCCTCCAGTGCGAGCACACGAAAGTACATTTCACGTGCCGACTTCACCGTACAGTAGTAGGCCATGGAAGAGAATGGCTCCAGGGCCGCCAATGTGCTAAGATTTACCACCAGCTTGGGTATGCCGGCAAACGTACGCATGAACTCACAGTTCAATGCCATCGCCGAGAACAAGTTGATGTGATAATATTGTTCCAGTATCCCGGTATCGCCCAATTCCCTGGCATGCTTGGATGTGTCGCCCAATGTGCCAGCATTGTGAATGACAATCGACCGCTCAAATTGTTTGACATCAATGCCCCTTAGCGTTTCGTCCAGAATGCGCACAAAGTCCGCTGTGTTGGCTGTGGCCAGTTCCAATGAATAGGTGTGCACTACCAGCTTGCTGTGATCCGTCAATATGGTCGCCTTGGCCTCCTGCAGCAACGGCTCGCTGCGACCCAAGAGTACCACCACCGAACCGGCCGCCTTCACCTGATGGGACAACTGAAGGGCCATTTCGCGTCCAATGCCGCGCGAGGCGCCCGTCACCAACAGATAAGTGCGCTGCTCCAGATTCATGGTGAAAGGCAAGTTCAACTCAGTCCAACAAACAGCGACAACAGTTGGTTCTGTGCAGGTTTGTGACTGGCTGTTTAAAGCAGCTTTCATCAGGCAGCTTCCGAAAAAGCTTCAACTCGTACTGTATTCACATGTGTGTGTGTGTGTGTGTGTGAGTATGAGTGTGTTTTGGGGTTACAAAGTTTGTTAGTTTAAATTCGTGCTGAGCTTCAACTCAGGCACACTTTGTTGATGAGCTTTTGCTCCCATACTAACATACATATGTATAAGTATATTTTATGGATGCATATACATATGTACGGGAATGTTT